TTGGGGCTCTCCTCAGCTCTTCCCAGGAGCGTGGCACGGTTGCCCCTGTGGTGGTCCTCCTTAGGTCCTTGTATTCTGGGGCCTCTGGATGTCTGGGACCTGGATCTCCTCCATACCTGCTTCATGCCCTATGGCTCCCCACACTCCCTAGCAGATCGTTACATGGAGAAACCTTTTGAATACAAGCGGTCTGATCCACACAGGTGTTCACAGACACAAACTACAACTTTCTTGGCTGCTGCCTCAAAGCACACTGTGCGCTGTAAATCTTGCGTGCTGCACAATACCATGTAATATTTAGTATCTACTGTTATCTACTGTTAGCTAGTTTATTGTGATGATGTTGTATTTATTATGTTGCTCTTTCTTGTTTGTTTTCTCTTCTGTTTTTTCTTATCTCCATACAGGTGATCCAGCTGTTTTGTTTGTCTTTTTTTTTCTTCCCCCCTTTCTCACCGTCTCTTCTCCCCTCTATTTTTCTTTCTTTCTCTCCCTCTCTTTCATTCTTTCTCCCTGTCCTATCCCCCAGTCATGTCTGTCCCGTCTGTAACAACCGAAAATCAAATAATTAACATAATTATAATAAAGGTCAATCAAATGGACCAATATGGCAAGGCCATGATGATCCACTTGGTAAAATAAATCTGCTTGGCATCTTTCTTGGCCTTCAGACAACAATTCTGACGGCTAAAGATCCAAACGGGACACAAAAAAAAGAAAAAAGAAAGAAATGGGACGGTCTAGCCTTCAGATTTGTGTCACCGCCGTCTCCGTGGAGTTTAATAAAGTCAGCCGCTTGATCCTTGCTATCTAAAATATAACAGGACACTGCCATAAATTCTCAACCATCTCAAACTTCTGTTTAATCAGTTTTCAGTTTGACGTTTATTCAGCTGTATAAAAACCCCGGAGGAACCCACCCGAGGGATTAATAAAGTTTTATTTATTCTAATAATCTAATAAATGTGATCTCAGTCGAACCGATTTACTCCGGAACAAATAAAACCAACCAAAAGTTATCTGAGTGACTTATATATCATGTTTAACCTGAGTAGCAAAAGACCGGGGGGGTCTGAAAACGATGAAGCTGGGAGTCCGCTGTTCTCACCGGCTCTAGTGACCCTTGAACCCCCAGCTAGCTATCGAGCTGGTGGGTGACAGATGTCTCTGAAAACATCGGAGCACTTTTGCAAATATGTGATGTCTTGATAAACCAAGCAGATATTTAAACTGAGCAGATATTTGAAGTTTGCACAGCTACATTCTCGCCTGAAAAGATCTTCAAAGTTTATTTTGTGTCCCAGAAAGCGTAATAAAAGTAATATTAAAACTAAGCAGCTGCCGCCATTGTTGGAAACTGGAATTGGCTGGGCCGCGCTATGAATCCTGGGATATGGTGGGCCACAAAGTATATGCCCGACCCATCATTCAAATCTGGGGAAAAGGAGGACGCATTTGGAGGAGTCTACGAATTGGGACAGCCTTTGTCTCGCTGCTGTGACGTAATTGGTCTACAAATGCGGCCTCCAAAGGATGCAGCCTACGTTTTGGGACACAGCTATAATGATGGGCTACGTGGTGGCTAGCTACACAGCCATGGTTAGCATAACACAAAAACAGTCAGGCTGGACAATGAACGCTAACTTTTTTCCACTGCATAAAAGTTAACGTGAGGGTTCCTGATGGTTAGAGACAAATGTAATCGCATGGCAGGGTGCTGTAAACAGACCAAACTTCAGTCAGGAGAACAACTGAGAAAATCCATCCACAATATGAGGTTAGTCGTTAATATACTGCTGCATGGTTGTAATAGTTGTAATAAAAACTGAGAGAGGCCGACAGTGATCACTGACTTTCTTTAGGGGCTTGTTGAGATTAAATAGAACAAGATTAAAACGTGTTAAAAACAGGAAGCAGGGTTTATCACATCATCACTTGAAGACCGGATATCCTACCTGCTGTGAATGTTTTAATGCAGTACACTTGGTGTTATTATCACTTGTCGCATCCTGTTTATGACAGTTAAAATAAATAACATTCATATAACAAATAAAGTTTTCTCGTGTAGACTGTATGTGGTGTTAAATAGGCCTATACTACTGTACCTTAATGTTGGTCATAAGGGTTAAGAGCCATATATTTTACGAGGTGGTACTTATTGTGAAAAATTTGAGAACCACTGATCTATTCCATCTGGTATTCTTTCTCTCCGTCCTATCTTCTCGCCCTCTGTTCTGAATTCTGTGTTTTGCTTGAATCCAGCACAGTCAGTGTGGAGCACCGACAATTTCTTTCTGAATAGCCCTTTATTGTTATTATCTATAATAACAATAAAGGGCTATTTTATTTTTTTCTTAAGTGTTAAAAGATTAAATGTGCCTTATTATAGAGGATCAGTGTCACATGTTTGTCATGTTTGTCTTTTCAATGGGCTCTAAATACAAACACACACGAGTGTGCGCTCCCATGTATTGTGTAAAATACATTTCTCATACACATTATATCATATTATTATTTTCCAACAGCAATTTATGCAATTGATATGACTCCTGCTGCGCTCCTGGGCTTTCTATTGATGCCACAATTATAAATTATAATATTTCTTCAGTTTGAGAGTCTTAACATTGATTTTGTAGGATTTCAGAAATGCACAGGAATTTTATCCCTTCAAGAACAAAACTTTTATTCACTGTCCTTTGTAGCAGCAGGGTTTTCTACCTCACACTTTCAACCATTGTCTACACTTCAGGAAGCAGAACTGTGGAAGCGGAGTCCCTCAGAGAAAACTCAGAGGAGCACATATCAGCTTTAAAGGAGCTTGAGGAGGGACAGTGTGACCGATTGCTCGTACCATCCATAATATGAAGAACCTTTTAATGCAGGGATCTGAAGTTTTAAGGTATGACAGGATCTAGATGGGAACCTTTTCAGTTAAATTAACTCACGTGCTAATAGTTGGAGTGCTTCTTTTATCCTTTATGTAATTAACAATATATATTCCTAACGTGGAATAAACTGTGTTTAGTGTCTTTATCAACTGAATTTCACCCAAACTGAAATTGAGTTTTTAGAATGAAACATGAAAACAGGACAATGCCAACAACCAACCACAACCACCAAGCAGGTGGTGCTCTGATTACAGTTGACCCACAATATTCACAGGGCAAATAGAAATGTAATAAACAAAACTTGATTTTTTTTTTCATCGAATTTTTGTGGTTGATGTGTAAGTGATGGTAATAAAGGTCTATCAATGTCGAAGGTTTTTTGACACTTATAGTAAGATTTCACTCAATGTTTAAGTAAATCCTTTGACATGATAGGTTTATGTTTAAAAAGTTCCAGTGTGATTTATTCCTTTTTATTAAGAAATAAAAGAAATTTCAACTGTGCTCGACTCACCCAGTTTCTCTATTTGGGAGTATCTCCAGCTTTGGAGAAAAGCCTCACACATGGTGCTGAGAAGCACGAGTATCACACAGCAAGCCTGCATAGGCTTGGCTATATGCACCTCTGCCTAGTGATTCCCATAGATCACATGATGTTGTACCCACGTTGCTTGGCACATTACAACTTCACCTTGGAATAAAAAAAAGAACAGACTTGTGAATAGTAGTGATGGGTAGTATGTTATCGAGAGAGATGAGTTGACAGTGTTGTCATACGGTAGGAAACCCTTCTCCTTTCAGCAGTTTCCATAAAAGCAAGTTCCTCTGTATCACAGGTGAAACTAACGCTGATATGCACATTTTGCAGGAATCCATTGTTGCTTTACATGTTCATAAATCACACCAGCACCCAAACCACTTTCTGAAACGCCATCAGTAATTTCACTCGACCTCAAGAAGTGCTTCATAAAAGACTTCCTGGATTTCTCAACACATACAGTAGAGTACAGTACAGTACAGTGTGTCACATTACTACTGGGGCCATAATCTGGAAGTGGAAAATACATAATTTCACCAGAAATCGCCCACGACCAGGTGCTCGCTGCAAGGTTTCAGACAGAGGAATGAAACTAATTATCAGAGTTGTCCAAGGACCACCTGGGGAGAGCTACAGAAAGACCTCAACAGGCACGAATGTTTCAAAGCAAACAGTATGTCACGCACTCAACTACCATGGCCGGTACGCAAGCCTGGGAGATACTGGGAGAATATCAACTGGTCAGATGAAACCAAAATGGAACTCCTTGGATGGCATAATACCCACCACATCACTGCAAATCACCCCAAAAAACACACTCTACCAATGGAGGTGGGAACTTCATGGTTTGGAAGTGAAGGAAGAAAAATCAGCAAAATTCTGCAGCCAGAATGATGAAGATGAAATAAGGGTGGATGATCCCAAACACAGCCAAGGAAACTCTCCATTGGTTTCAGAATAAGAAAATAAAGCTCCTGGAATGACCCAGCCAATCAACTGACCTCAATCCAAATGAACATCTATGGAAAGAACTAAAACTCATAGTTCATAGAAGAAGAAGTGTGATTTTAGCCCATTCTTCCACAAAGAACGGGCTAAAATCACACCTGAGCATCTGACTAGTTTCTCCACACAGTAGGTGTTTTGACGCGGTCAACAAAGACTTTTGTACCAAATATTAAATACACTTCAGCAAGCGTGTTCAAAACGTTTCTTCCCCCCCTTTGGTGACATGTTCTGTACTTATTTTACCCGTATATTCTGGTACAGTCCTCCCCCACGTCACCTCCTGATTTCACTTCCACAGTTCTGAGTAAAATGTGTTTCTGTCTCACTCAGCCATCTTATCACTTTATGATAAAATAAGACCTGGTGCCCATTTTAAGAGAAAGAAGATTTAAAAAGAAATAAACAATTTTGGGGAAGATTGTTTTTCTTACTTATCTAAACAAAACTAATTCTTCTGGGTCTCTGGTTATGCATCAGTAAATTCAGTATGAATTCAATTTTAATTCCTTTCAGTTATTTAGAAAATAATTAAGGCTTGTTAAAATAATACATCTCAGCATTATTAGTTAATGTTTTTAGTAATTTAATGTGACTCTTCACAAATAATGCTTGAAGCAGCTTATACAGTTTGAACCAGCACCGAGCCCTGTCACATTTACACCCAGAAAAGAAAAAGGATTAAAATGCTGTCTGTAAACACAACATCGCAGAAGAAGACAACTTCCTGATTCTTAGTTAAAAGAAGTGCGACAGGGTCACATAGCCAAATATAGCTCATTACTGTCATGAAACGGTATTAATGGTAACGTCAGCAGCTAAAAGAAAGTTCCTAAATAGGCAGACACAGCTGAGAAAAAGACAAAGTGAGAAATTTGGCAGTATTTAAAAATACTAATTGTTCAAGTCTCGGATGAAGCCAGCAGACATGTCATTAAACAGACATTTAATGACATTAAAAATACAAATTGTTGTATGTAATGACATGCACGTGTATGATTAAGCCATTTCAAAATGATACATCACAAGAGAAGTAATGCAGTGCTTATAAGTTATTAAGAACAGAGTATGATTGTATATTTTCATCTGCAGTACAAAATCTTAAACACTTACAACCTAACAATAATAGCAGTAGATTGAAGTCTGTTCATCTCGGGTAGTTGTAGTTGGTGAGATGTAAGAAATTACATTTTTAAAAACCTTCCAATGTTTTCAGCCTTACACAAACATGAAAATGACAGTAGTGGTTACTTTGAAAACTGTAAAAACAACAGCTGTTTATGAGCGAGTGTAAAACTGTGATATAACGGCCGGAAAAATGGAGGCAGTTGCTAAAACAGGAAAAACTCTAACTTTCACATTTTTGTTAATTATGTGAAGCAGTCTTTTAGAAAAGACACGGGGATGCTTTCCTAACACTAGCGAAGCAGTTTCAACATAAACAAACAGGTAATGAAAACATTGGTATTTGTGTTTGCCAGCGCTGCCATGAGCTGTCCAAAATCAGGTATAAGTCATGTTGTAGTCTATAGTTGCTGGACATCACTTGGTAACATTAAAAACAGGCCGAGCATTTCCATTTGGCTGATGACATGAAGCATTACCGTCATTGAATAAGGCGTGGAAGACACGGGTATAACATGAGTTTGAGGTTGCTCTGCACAGAAAAAAGCTTTTCTGGCCACATTTTGTTATCAGAGACATTTCAAGAACCGTAACCATCCACATACATTACAGCTGATAAAGCATCATTGAAGACATTATTACACAGCCCACCCAAAGTTTCCAACTGATTTTTTTTAAAATGTCTTTCGTAAAGAAACACACTTCAAATGAGGACACGCTTCTGTTCCAGGCACTTCTGAAATGTCGAGTGTGTAACAACATTAGGTCACCCATTACACTCGAACAAGGTAACAGAAATCATTTGGTTTCAGGGAGCCTCATCTTCATCTTCAGCTTGGACTGCTCTGCATTCCTCTGCTCAACTCTATGAACTGCTGCTGAGTCTTCGCCGTAGCAGCGAGGCCGGCTTGCTCTCAGTGTCCTCTACGTCGCTTTCACATTGCCGCTGCAGAAAAGCATCATTACAGCTGTCAGCACTTTTCACTTACAAATCTACGTGACTGTGCCTCATGAAGCTTGTATTGCAGATTTGAATTATATCATTTGAACATGTACCTAACTTCAACTGTGACGTTACACTTCTAAAACAGTCTTTGTTATTTCTTTGACTCCATCCACGTATTAACATTTTCTACTCCCACCTTTTGTAACTCAGAAATGTATTCATGCACATTATCAATAGCACTTAACAATAACAGCCACATACACCTATTCATAAAGTACTTACCGTATTTTTCGGACTATAAGGCACACTTGAAATCCTTTAATTTTCTCAGAAATCGACACTCTGGTTGTGCTTACTGACCTTGAAACATCTTTACGTGGTACACGACGCTCACAAATCTGTCAAAATGTTTTAGTACGACTTTGCTAAGCTATACAGCTGCACCGCTTGTTGGAGCATTACGGCTACCGTAGTCAGGAGCCTCGCGGAGTCATACGTACTCTGCTTCAATGTAACATTATGGTGTGTGTATAAGGACCCCATAATGAGACGTGCTTACGGGCCAAAATCACCCAACTGTTAAACTCAGACCCTGAAGATGAAGAATTTGAGGAAGAGGAATGAACTGAAAAAGTGTATTGTTCTGTATTTTATTGTTACAACTGAACAATGTTGAGAGTTATTGTGAATGAGTTGAATAAAGTTTGACTTATCTGACAGTTTTGTTTCGCTTTATTAGCCTTATGTATGAAAATACACCCGTTCATTGATATTGCGCCTTGTAGTCCGAAAAATACAGTAATTCAACAGTACCATACACACACTGATGACATCTGAGCAGTTTTAAAGTTCATTACTTCACCCAAGGACACTTTGACATATGGACTACAGGGCTGACTGAGGGTTTGGGGGGGGCTATCCCAGCTACCAGTGTGAGAGGCAGGGTAACAGCTGGACGGGTCACCAGCCTGACACAGGACTAACACAGAGACAGACAACCACTCGCACTCACATTTAGATTCTCCATTTAATTTAACTCCACTTTTCAGTTAAATATGTCTCACCTGTAGTGGATCTGGACTCAGGGTGTCTTTACGCGGCAGTCTCAAATTTACGAGCCGATTACATGCCGACACCATATTGTAAGACATCTAGAAGGTGACAGGGAAGAATGTTTTACATCCATCACAAATAACATCAGCTCAGTATCTTCTAAGGTAACGTTCATTTTTAACCCATTATGTGAACTTTAACCTCCTAAGACCCAAACTCTTTCATGGCATTTTTAATTTCTCTTTGCTATTTGGGCTGATTGGGACCTGATGAATATAAAAACAAAGAATTACCTGATTCATTCGTTTTAAATTTCGATACAAAAGTAGCAGAATAATGTCCTCGTAAGTGGTATTTTTTTTAATACTTTTTCGTAACATGTAACCATGATGGAGTATTTTACGGTACAACATATGTCCTCTTTATTACATAAGGATTTAACCATTGCTAAGGAGGGTGCCAGACAGGGCTAATGCACACAAATATATAGTGAGGGTACGCTAGGAGTAGCAGAGGTCCTGGACAATAAGATTTTGTTTTAGATTTTAGAACATCCTGATAACAATGAATGGCCTCTGGAAGACAATTCCTTATGGTTGCTTGTGTCTCTAACTTCACGTGTCTCAAAACAGTATCACCAGGAACCAGAGAATTCTTCTCGGTGGGTGTGTCCCAGACTGGGCAAAAACTGTTAGAGACGTGAACAGGTTGGTAGTGTACCCTGGCCTTCTGTTTAGGACTACGCTTTCTCCTCACGGTAACCCACCCAGTCTGTTTTCCTGGCTGCTTGTTACAATCTGCTCGGCGAGAGCTAAAGGTGGCTATCCTATAATAAATATAATATATAATATAATAAAATTTGAATCCTAACTTCGCCCACACCAGCTACAGAACTTTAAAAGTGTATACATGGATTAATTTGGTTTTACTGCTGGTCTAACGCACAAAAATATGCTTTAAAATGTCTCTTAACATAAATATCCAGACTCACCTTCCACTTCCTTCGGGCATTGAACTTCTTAAAGTTCTTCATATTAATTGAGGATCGATTTCTTTTGGCAACCTGTTTAGGTGTGATGGGCTGAAACAATGACAACATGTATGGCTGACAACACGGTAACACAACAAAAGTAGTGCAGAAGAAATGACAGACTGGTGCTAACCTTAATCCATGGATGAAGCAGACACTCCTCAGCTGTCATTCTGTCTCTGCAATATGCATTGACGTGTAAGGAATGATGAGAGATCATTATTTATTTTTATAGTCCTTTTCCTTTAGTACCTACTCAGACTGATCCGTTTTAAATTACTAACAACCTCACCTAATGGCATGAGGTACAACACGGCCGAACATCCCATGACGTTATTTGTATGCAACATGAACGGAGGACATGGAGGCAACGGTACCTACTGCTCGATGTATGGCTTTTTATCAGGCCATTTCTCTCGTTGCCGGGTTTCAAAAACGGCGGTTTTGATTTATGTAAACGAGATGCTCGCATGACTCATAGAGTGACCATACTGACTAGCCAATGCAGTCTGTTGACGTCACATTTTCGGATTGCCTTGGATCACTTAGGTAGGTACTAATAATGTACCCGGCACCAGGTACCCCCAAAAAAAAATCTAAGTCACGCCAATCTAATCCGAGTAGGTACTAATGGAAAAGGACTATTAGTTAATATATTGTAATAATCCTTAAGCATTTTTGCTACAACCTAAACTACTAAACTAAAGTAGCAGGAAAACAAAGTTTGGCAGAACATTCCATGATTTTTGGATGCTGTCAAACAAACTAAAGAATATTAAGATAACAATGATTTAAGTGTATTTCACATGACCTTTGGTAGATGAATGCATTTGTCTTGTCATAAAAATGTAAAATTACTTTTACTCCTCTTTAAAACCATCTGTCTTCTGCATCCAAACTGTAAACATTGGCATCCTCGAAAGAGTGATCTTTATCTTTTAGGTGGAGAGATAGGCCTTGCACTGTCGAGGTGGCTCTTCTATGTTGTGCCATGTGTTTATGGATGGGCTGTTTGGTTTCACCAATGTAGAGGTCTGAGCACTCCTTACTGCACTGCACAGCATGCACTACGTTGTTTAGTTTGTGTTTTGTCCTTAGGATGAACCAGTTTTTGTCTGACAGTGTGGCTGGGTCTTAAGTACACCGGGATGTTTGCTTAAAGAAAATTTTCCCCAATCTTTCTGACAAACGTTGTTCCGTTTGTCATTCTGTGTCTCATTAGTTGGTGTACAGTGCACACCAACGAGCTGGACAGCCACATTTAGACTCTGGATACTTGGTGCTTAGTGTGAAGGGACTAGTTGACATGAAGTCCTAATCTTGATGTTCACTATTACATCCCTAATCACTGAACAGAGGAATACATTAAATTTCAGACTAATGTGCCCAAGTAAAATATTGTATTTTATGACATACTCTGGATTCTTCATCAACAGTTTCTGGATGAAATCTTTCGCCATGGGGCTTGTCAGGCTGAAGTAGTGCTCATTAAACTCGTATTTCATGCCAATGACGTTTCCCAGAGTCTCTTCATCAGTGTCGCCTTGGAATGGTGACAAACCACTCAATCTGAGAAAAGACAATACAACATGTCAACATCTGACATCTTCATCTGAGCATTAAAACACATTAATAGTTTTCTTTTCCTTCTTTCTTTCTTTCTTTTTTTTTCTCTTCAATTTCCCATCTAGTATAACTGAAAAAGTTTACCTTTACTTTTAAAGGCCCAAATACAATCAAAAGATGTTTGTATACAATCCATAAATTATGTACTTTAGAAGCCACCCAACATACAAACACTTACAACTTACAATATGTAGGTAATAACTCCAATGCTCCTGAAGAAACATGAAACAAGGCACAGGCAGACATGAAGCGTAAATTAAAAACAAAAAAAACTCTACTGTATGACAACATGTAAGAAAAACACAGTGATTCAGTTTTGTTTAAATCCTGTATAATTGTGTTTATTCTGCTGTGACCAACTCAAATATTGTGCAGAGAGTAATGCTCACGACAGGCCTGAACACGCTGGAGCTGAATGCTTACCACATATCTGCTGCTGTACTCAGAGGCTGGCAGCTGATGACCTCAGGGGCTGCAGAGGTGGAGAAAGATAGAGAAATTGTGTTGGGTTGGTTATTAACTTAGATGATTCGATTCTAAATAACTTTAGTAGAATATTTGCAGAAGTAAAGCTCCTTAAACTTGCAACAAACACTTTTATTGGCAGCTTTTAAGCACGTAAAGTCAGATATAAACACAGGATCTGTTATCCTCCACTTTTAAGTTTGTGTGATAGCCTTATAAGGAATCTGTTGTTTATTTTCACATGACAATTTGCATGTCAACGATCTAACCTCACAGCCCATTGTTCATCAATGGTGTTAGGTTCAGTCATTTTGCAAATGTACTGTTTATACAGTTGGGCAAACCTCCAGTCAGCAGAGACTACAGAAGTCACTTGGATGACTGACGAAATGTTTCTTCCACTGAAAACGCTACGTCCAGATGAACTGAATCAACTTTTTTGGTTTACTTACCTGGATGATTGTGCATCATCAACACATTTTAATGCATTTTAACCATCCGAGACAAGATGTTTCTCATTTTAGAGATATTGCACAAATGAAGGAAAGCAGTCCTAACCTTTGTTTAATAAGCCCACTGAAGGACAGATCCTGGTCAAAAATGATTCCAACATTCCTTGCAGTATTACTGGAAGCCAATGTAATGCCATTCAGATTAAGCAACTGGTCACCTACCATATTTCTCAGATTTTTGGGGTCGAGTACAAGAAACTCAGTTTTATATGAATTTAGAATGGTATGTGTATGCCACATCCAGATTAACAGAATCAACTTTTTGGAATTTTCTTAGCTGGATGCTTGTGCATGCATCACAACAACAACAACAACAATAACAATAATAATAATAATAATACATCTACATTGCTAATAAATTGCAAAACGTACGTTTATCTCCCTCACTGAAAATCAGACTGGCTGTGATCACAAAATAATAGCCAATGTAAACATTTGAAAGTAACGGGGCGATCATGGCTCAAGAGTTGGGAGTTCGCCTTGTAATCGGAAGGTTGCCGGTTCGAGAGTCTCGGTCGTTGTGTCCTTGGGCAAGACACTTCACCGGTTGCCTAGTGGTGGTGGTCAGAGGGCCCGGTGGCGCCAGTGTCCGGCAGCCTCGCCTCTGTCAGTGCGCCCCAGGGTGGCTGTGGCTACAATGTAGCCAGTGTGTGAATGTGTGTGTGAATGGGTGGATGACTGGATGTGTAAAGTGCTTTGGGGTCCTTAGGGACTAGTAAAGCGCTATATAAATACAGGCCATTTACCATAATTAATGTCCATCACACAAAAAAAGTCAAAATTTCTCAGGTGATTTTAAAATATATATGAATCTAGCCTTCATCATCTTATCACAGGGATAGTTTCCCAACAACTTGATGTTAAGTGTTTCCATCTTTAGAAACTTACTGCAAAAACTCATAACAATGCTGCATGCCAGCAATGTAAAAGATGAGCAGGAAACTGAAAAGTTTGCTTTTGTAAGTCAACAACATTCTGATAAAATGAGTCATGAACAGACATCTCCACCACAAGCATCTCTAAAACAGTGTAGCTTATGATTTTTGTTTCTGTCATTTAATGAATGCAAAAAGTTTTATATCTAAAAAAAGAAAAACAGCAATATGGAACTACATCTAAGCACAAAACATAAATAACTTCAGTGTGGCACCCTCTACACTATGTAAACCAGTGATTCCTGTGATGATCTATGGTCTTTATAATGTGTAAACTGATTGGTTCTTATATAGCACTTTTCTACTCTGAGCACTCAAAGCGCTTTTTACAACTTGCTTCATTCACCCACTTTCATTTTAGTTTAATTCAATGTCATTTATACAGTGCCAAACAACAGTTGCCTCAAGGCACTATTCATTTACCCATTCATCCAGGCACTTTTTTAATGCAACAAAAAGCATTTGCACGTGACCGTTCCAGATGTGCCAAGCCCATGTGAAAAGAAAAAAAGACCTCAATGGAGGGGTTCAGCTGGAAAGCAAACTGTAATGATTCAAATACAGGGGGCTGTGAGGAGATAATGTAGTTAGTCCTTTACCAGTCTCTCGAAGCGCATCGTTATGGGAATTAGTGTAACAGGACAGTGGTCATTAAAAAAAAAGTGACAGTGAATTTTGTGTCACTGGAATGATAGTGACAGACCAGCAAGGTGTTACAGATGTCCATAACGCATTTGCCCATGGGTCAGCACACTCACTCTCAGTTCTCGTCTTGGAATGCCTGGTGCGTTCACTCTCTTCGGGGTTTTACAGATATTAGCAACGCTGAGATTCAGTTCTTTTTGATCAGGGTGAAGACTGGCTTTTGGTGTAGTGGTGGTATTATATGTTGCAAATTTACAGAAAATGTTATTGTAATTTAGACAGTGTAGGTTGTTGTCACAAAGTGGAGGAGCAGCCCTATAATCTGTTATCTTTGAATCCTCTGCCATAAAGTGTTACCAGGGTCACAGAAGAAATGTAGAATCTTTCCAGTATGGCATGCTTTGCTGTTCTTATAGCACGCAGGGTGGTCTGCGGCTCAGCTGTGGAGAGGGTTGGTGCAGTGGGTACAGAGGGCAGTTCCAGGACAGGCTGGCCAACACAGCTGGGGATCATCATCAGATCACGCCTACACTATCTGAGCAGCACGCCAGGAACCTAACATAACACAAATGTGTGTTACAGTGGCGCCCAACTACCCAGGACAAGATATCGGACCCACGAACCATGCAGCCGGTGCGGTCGCAGAGCTGGCTGCCATGGAGCGGGAGCAGACAACAGTGCACCGACAGCAACTTGGAAGCCCCAGGACCAGGCCAAGTACCAGACAAATGTCCTGGGAAATCTGGTTGCTCAATGCGGTTCCTCTCCGTCACACAGCGAATGGTATACCTCCATAGTTCCGTGGTGGTAAAGAAAGGTGGGTCTATTGGGTTCTGTGTTGACTACCGCAAGATGATTGAGGTCACAGCATATCGCTTATTCCATGCCATGGGTCAATGAACTCCTGGACCGGTTTGGTACTGCTCATTTTTTCATGACACTGGATTTGACTAAGTGCTACTGGCATATTCCCTTGTCTCCAGAGTTTCCACTCTGTACGGATTTTACCAATTCCACACACTTTTATTTGGCTTTTTCAAAAAGGGGGTTGATTACATAAGCCAAAAACTCTCAGAATGGGAAATGCCCGGCCTGAGCTCGGAGGTGGGTATATGGTGGGGTGTGGCTCAGCTCCAAGGAAGGGGTGGTGCAGTGAATTCAGAGGGTCCTGGCTCTTTTCCCTCCTTTTCCTCCAGCATTGTTTCCACTAAGGCAGCCAAAGTAAAGCGCCTACATTTATTATAAAGTCCATTGGTGTGGTCCCAGACTGAATGTTGTTGGATTACATTATACATGCTTCCCTTAGGCAGCATCATTAGAAGACATAGCATACATTTTCACTGCTATGCAGATGACACCCAGCTCTATCTGTCCATGAAGCCAGATAACACACACCAATTAGTTAAACTCCAGGAATGTCTTAAAGACATAAAGACCTGGATGGCCGCTAACTTTCTGCTTCTTAATTCAGATAAAACTGAGGTTATTGTACTCGGCCCTGAAAAGCTTAAAAATATGGCATCTAACCAGATTCTTACTCTGGATGGCATTACCTTGGCCTCCAGTAACACTGTGAGGAACCTTGGAGTCATTTTTGACCAGGACATGTCCTTCAATGCACATATTAAACAAATATGTAAGACTGCTTTCTTTCATTTGCGCAACATCTCTAAAATTAGAAATATCCTGTCTCAGAGTGACGCTGAAAAACTAGTTCATGGATTTATTACTTCCAGGCTGGACGACTGTAATTCATTATTATCAGGATGTCCAAATAACTCACTGAAAAGCCTTCAGCTGATCCAAAATGCTGCAGCAAGAGTCCTGACAGGGACTAGAAAGAGAGAGCATATTTCTCCTGTTTTGGCTTCCCTTCATTGGCTTCCTGTTAAATCCAGAATTCAAAATCCTGCTCCTCACATACAAGGTCTTAAATAATCAGGCCCCACCTTATCTTAATGACCTTGTAGTACCATATCACTCTATTAGAGCACTTCGCTCTCGCTCTGCAGGCCTACTTGTTGTTCCTAGAGTATTTAAAAGTAGAATGGGAGGCAGAGCCTTCAGTTTTCAGGCCCCTCTTCTGTGGAACCAGCTTCCAGTTTGGATTCAGGAGACAGACACTATTTCTACTTTCAAGATTAGGCTTCAAACTTTCCTTTTTGCTAAAGCATATAGTTAGGGCTGGACCAGGTGACCCTGAATCCTCCCTTAGTTATGCTGCAATAGACGTAGGCTGCCGGGGGATTCCCATGATGCATTGAGTTTTTCCTTTCCAGTCACCTTTCTCGCTCACTATGTGTTAATAGACCTCTCTGCATTGAATCATATCTGTTATTAACCTCTGTCTCTCTTCCACAGCATGTCTTTTATCCTGTCTTCCTTCTCTCACCCCAACCAATCACAGCAGATGGCCCCGCCCCTCCCTGAGCCTGGTTCTGCCGGAGGTTTCTTCCTGTTAAAAGGGAGTTTTTCCTTCCCACTGTCGCCAAAGTGCTTGTTCATAGGGGGTCATATGATTGTTGGGTTTTTCTCTGTATCTATGAAGCGCCTTGAGGCGACTTTTGTTGTGATTTGGCGCTATATAAATAAAATTGAATTGAATATGGAGTCTTGGTCCATTTTAAACATAATTCTTCAATGCTTGACCACAGCCTATATTTAAGATATGGATGTCGCTACATCAGCATATTGGGATGCTGGGTGATCAGACTGCTGAACTGGTTTGGAAGTCGCACCAAAGCTCATCAGAACAAACAACGATTTATTTCAGTGGATAAAGACAGGGTAATCATGAACAACAAGACCAACTAAACCTTGTGACTGTCACTGATTGGAAGCATCTAGTGTGCCTTACACAAAAACACACATGGAAAGTTCTTAGTAGGTTAAGATAACATTACTTGAACTAAAACAGTTTATTTTGGTCATCTTTACAGCAGTTTCATGAAAGGCACAAACCTTAAAACGTGGGAAAAAGCAAAAAGCCCAACAAAAGTTGAAACAATTGTGAGGCTATACCAGACCAGTGACAGCAAACATGAGTCACACTAAAGAAAGATTTGGATGATCTTTGGTCAGAGAATAAAAACATGTTTTATGCATTGTAAAATAAAACTAAACTGATAATTAACATTTCACCAAAACATAATGCCAAATACCATTTTTTAATACAGCTTAATACTCACCAATGTACTGTGGAGTACCACTTGTGCTCTTGTACTCCTCTCCCGGGTGAAACAAGTGAGCCAGGCCAAAGTCTATGAGTTTGATGTTGGGAGGTTTTGACACTTTGTCTGACAGCATGATATTTTCTGGCTGAATGTGGCGAAAATTGTTATGTTGGAAACCATGACTTTGAAAATGTTCTGTTCCACAATATAAAAGATAGATGTAACTAAGTATACTTACCTTGAGGTCAAAGTGGGCAATGTTTTTGCAGTGTATGAATTTCAGACCCTCCAGTATCTGCTTCATGAATTCAATGGCCTCAGTTTCCAACAGGTTCTCTTTCTCAGCAATAAAGTCAAACAGCTCCCCTCCACTGACACTAAGCAGGAAGTGTTTTAATGAGACACTTGTTAAACATTTCATTTTTTCCCTGTACAGAACAGGATAGGGTAGCAAATATATATTTTCTCATACTATGGTTTGTTTCCCATATGTTATGGTGGAGGGGGAGGATTTGCATTAACAGAAAACAGGTTTAAATTTGTAGGTAGAACAGTGAAGTGTTTACGCTTTATGGAGATATTTGTCAACTCACAGCTCCAGAATGAGCACCACTTCAGCGCGACTTTCAAAAACATCTTTGAGAGCCACAATGTTTGGATGTTGGACAGCCTGGAGGATCTCCACCTCTCGCTCCACGCTGCTCCTGTCCAGGCCAAGACGGCTGCATGCAACCTTCCGAATCTTCAGGAATTTGCCTGCCCAAAAGTTCCCAGAGGTCCGCTCCCGAACCTGGCGAACCTGGCCAAAATGCCCACTGTACAGGGGAAGGACAGAATTCACAAAAAACACCAAGCCTGGCATGCATCAAAAATCCCGTGTCCTGAAAAATATGACTTTTTTTTTTTTGCTAAAGTAAAAACAAATAGTCTTCCCAGACATTTGGGTCAGGCCTAATCACCATATCCTCACAGCCTTCTGCTGCTGAACAGGTGGTCCTTACACAAGAGTATTAGCTTCGGAAAAACTCTGAGTAACTGCTCTGCCGCTCAGGTGGCCAGGGGCAATTTCTTCCCTGCATAACGTGATCCAGTGGTTTCTGTTATGATGCTGAGCCACGATATATTTAGCCGACACACAGAGTATTTGCACATGTTTTGCATATTCATGCTTTGAGCAGGAGAGGTTGGTATGCCCTCCTCCTCATCACAGTGTTGGGCTTAGAGTCAAGCCCCGGAGTTTCTGCAAGTTTCTGTCCACCTTCACTATCTATGGTGCTAACAACAAGGACAACGAGTTAGCTGGTTTACTAACTTCAGCAGAAAAGGACAACAGTGTTAGCTAGTGTGGTAAACCGTACTAACTAAACCGCCTTAGTGGAGAGCACGACGCCCAATCTATGGTGCAGACTTGGTTTCAGCAGAGACGAGCAAAAGGTATCAAGCACCCAGCGACAGGAAGTTTGCTAAACACTCCTGTCTATGGACAGGTAAGATAGCTAGCTAGCCTAATATAGGTTGAGATATGCGCCAAAGCTTGAAGAGGTGTTTCAATAATGGCTATGTAATAGCACAAGCTACTGAAGGGTGGGAGTTTCTGCCTGACGTAGTTGTTGCAATCACCAGCCAATCAGGAGTGGTGGAATGAGATAAATGATTCTGAGTTGAATTGCATCCCATAGTGCGATATTGCCGTGATTGCTACTATGGGAACAGGGAATTTTACTTTCACACGCATCACCTCGTTAATATGGTTTCAGACCAACCATACGTGGTACAAGGCTGCAGGTTATTGTAGGCAGGCATTAAAAAAAGCAGAGGACACAGCTCTTGTTACAGTATACTGGGCATGACTGGGAGACTGATGTCTCTGAGAGCTTTTATTCCTATTGTGATTAATAATTTATAGTGGAATTGCAGTATAATTGCTCAAAATGGGAAGTTTGTTAAGCCCACAAGCACAGAGGTTTCTGTGGTCATTTTGCAATAGTCTGGTATGGGTTGCATTAAATGCATGTAAATCGTTCACTTTGTATGACTGTGAGTTAACATAGGATTATCGTTTCTTCTTTGTTTTACCTTATTACTCAGAGAGCTTTTTGGGGTATCAGCACCATCAAATTAAGGCTGAAATCCTGCTTATTTCAAATCCAATATGCTGGTATTCAAAAGAAACAAATCTGTACATGTCCTCACCATACATCACTGTACTACGGAGCACCTATTGGAACACACTAGAGCATAAAACAGTTGCATCCATACCTTCCCAGAACTTCCCCAATCTCATAGAAGTCTTCCACATTCTCAGGTTTGAAGACAGCCATGTTCCTTTGGTTCACACTGGTCACCTTGGTTATAGGTTTGCCTACTGCCAACTATTTAATATGGAGCTTCAAGGGGTTCATGATCCTCCAAACTCTAACATCAAAGCTGGACCTGAGTTTGAGTAAGAGAAAATATTACAGAAAATTATGTTCTCCAAAAGACCACACAATGTCTTGTACTGTGACAACTACACAAACACAGTGCATACATCTGATACATACAGCCGACATTTTGCTAGCAAGAAAAAAAAAAAAAAAATCAGACGTAATAATTTCTCCAGGGTTCTTCAATATGTGTTTATGCTGATCATCTAGTTCAAGATGAATACTTTATCTACTCATAAATAAAACTGTAACGCAGCGGTGTTCCAACAGACAAGCAGACTAAGCAGCGACTGCCCGGTCAAATCAGGAAATCAGAAACAATTAATGTGAAAGATCTTTTTTAATCTGAAACAGCGTTCTGCCATCAAACTTCCACCCATCCTTTACATTACTGCCATCTTCTGACTGCAGTTGGCTTTTGTTACTGGAAGCTTTACTTGTCTTGGATCCTACTGAAAACTGTGTGCTTCTATTTCATGAGCATATCTGTGTCCCGTTAACTATGCCTGAAGCTTGACAAGCTGAGAGACCAGATAAACATCTGGTGTTTGATGGGAGACCAATGGGAGATTAGCATGCAAGGTATGCTGCCACTGGCTCTGCATTCAAAGTTCTGAGATTCCCAGTTTGTGTGGAAACAGAATCAGCATTAGCCAGTAGATGAGCTTCTGGAATTTATCATCGTAACAGATCATTACGAGCAAGCATTTCCTCTTACAAACCAACCCGACAAACGTGTATACAAGCTGGAGTGCAGTGTGAAAAGTTTTAATAAATTCCTTAGGCAAGTGGAACAGGCACAGGCTCAACCAGCACATTAAGATTAGTATATCTGGTCTCTGAGTGCTATTGACACCCTTTTCTCAACGAGAAGTCAGGGCTCGGGAGAGCCTGAGTGCCCTGGAGGGACTTTCCCTGCCGGTTACACGATGGACGGGTGGCAGAACTGGAGGACCGTGTGCCTGGCGGGACTGTCGATCGAGGACGCTGAAGATATCTACCTATTCGGAACCATGATAACAGGGTTCATGCTGATCGGCGTTGGCTTAGCCCTGGTTTATCAGAGAAATAAGAAAGCGGAACCGGCTGTTCAAACCCCCACAAGGCTGCCCGCTGGATTCGAAGCGACGGGACGAGGTGCGACCTCTCACAACGAATGTAATATGGTCAACACCTTGGAGACGCTTACAGCTGCTGTGAAGGCTCAAAACAACACCATTGAGCGTATGAGGGGAAACATCAGAGAGAGGCCTGCTCAAAATGAGACCCTTGAGCGACAGTTGGAAAACATCGCGGAACGGATCACTGCAGTTGTGAGGTCTCAGAATCAAAAGACTGACAACACCATGGAACAGAAGTTTGATACCATCATGGAGAGGCTCGCAGCTCTTCAACGGGAGATCGAGAGACCAGCCTCGGAGTGCTAGAATTCGAGCTGCTCACAAAGGAGAAATCAACAATATTCAACATTTGGACACCACGGCCCCAGCTGCAGGCCCAAGGCTGGATACCACCAAAACAACTCCCTGATAACGACTGTGTGATGACTATTCTTCCCGCCCCATGAAGGACACCTGGATTGGCTGGAGGACTGTTTACTTAGCCTGATAGGCCGAAGGACACTGTCTCAGCTAAACTATGGACACGCGCACACACACACACTTACACTGATAAGCACTCACTCATCCCCCTCCCTTTCCAACGCCTTCGATGCTTGTGCCCTACCGGGGAAGATAGCAGTCAACTGGACCAGCACAGATGCTGCAGGACCGGATGCGCTGTCTACGCCGGCTCTCTCTTACCCTTTACTCGCCCCTGTTGCTTGTCTTGTGTTTCTATGGTGTATTGATAGTCATGTGCTTTTGTGCTGAGGTGTTTTTTCTTTTATCAAACTGTTCTCCCACTAGGAGCTCAGTCTGAGTGGAGTTTTTTTTTCTCCTCCTCTTACCTCATGTAGTGTATTTTTGTTGTTTTTTTCCTATCAGCCTACCTTCTGACATGTCTGCCCAATGTGATGTTTGTGTAAAATTGGTCAGAAGGTTCCTTTGTGAGTGCGCATGCGCCATTAGCGTGCTGCCTGCTGTAACCCCTAATTTCCCTCGGGATGAATAAAGTATTCTGATTCTGATTCTGATCTGAGAAATCACTAGTAAGTTTAACTAGCTGTTTGGTCCAGACGCCTTCATTTTTCACACATATTTACTAGGGATGGACCGATTCGATATTATGTATCGGTCCGATACTGACCTAAATGACTGGATCAGAGAAATAAAAAATGTAATCCAATCCATTAAATATCAAAACAGCACCTCACAAAACTTGCGACATGGCGTAACTCAGCTCATAACCTTAGCTTGTCGGAGCAGTGTGCGTCTCGTCATAGAGCGACTGTGGCGTGCGAGACCTGTCGGTGGTCTAGTTGAGTATTTGTAGCCTCGCTACCAAACCAGCATTTCATCTCCAAGAAAGTTATCCAAGAAAGAAGTAAAGCAAGTGTGTAAGTTCATCTCTGAATGTTTGTAAAGCATTCCCGCGTTAAGCTTAACAACCAATATATGGAGCGACTGCCTCTCCCTCCCTCTCCTGTTGCTACTTCAATTGTGAAACTGATTAATGATCAGCTGATCGGCTTTTCTGTGCGAGTCTCTCTTGCTTGTTTTTGGTCCACACAGTTACACGGCTGGTAACTTTGCAGGGGCGGGTCTAGCAAAGTTTAGCCAGGGGGGCCGATAGGGCATGAACAGGGAAAAGGGGGCACAAAGACATACTTTTCTTTCTTATTCTCAGTTAAAATGTCGAGCTTTTAATAAATAATTATCTGAATAACACAACCAAAGTTTTAATCTGATGTAAAATGTGTAGAAATCCATTACTGTATATAGTAACTGTTAAGTCTAACATACCCTAGTAAGCTATAGTACTTTTTCCTTTGGGAACCATCTGTGCAGTCTGCAGTTCTGTTGAAGAAAGATGTTGAATCTATTTAATATTTCTTGAAAAATAATTGACTTCTGTCCTTTTTTTTTTTTTTTTTTTTTAAAACACATGCATTAAATTAAGGTTGATTACGTCAATTAAGCATCATGAGGTGGGGGGTGGTTTCCTATTATTTTTGCTGGGAGTTGGCAACCCTATTAGTTAGGTTGTTTAATATTTCTGCTAAATACTCTTTAAAATACCAGAATAGGGAGGACGGAGCAGGTTTAAGTTTATTAGCTCAGTATTGCTGAACTATGAAATATTTTGGGTGCAGTGTATTTCTTGCATACAGGTTTAACAGAATAGCTTTGGTGTTTTGTTTTTTAAAACTTGAGTATGAACAAGATATTAAAAAAACAGTTTTATTGATTAAAAACACTATATTGGATTCATATCGGTATCGGCAGATATCCAAATTTATGATATCGGTATCAGACATAAAAAAGTGGTATCATGCCATCTCTAATATTTACATATTTAAACCAGTGGAGACAGTTAACCATGTCGTGCACTGCTCAAGCCTTTTAATTCAGCTATGCTTGTTTGTTATTGATACAGTTTCATATATTAACAAGCTGCGTTTCTAAGCTCATTAACAATTTTTTTCAGGGATAATGGATTGTCACAAGAAAACTACAACAAAACTACACAAAGATACAAACATTAATATTTTACTTCTCCATTGTGTTACTGACATTTTCAGAAAATATATGCATATTTTCTCAGTTACCACCTCATGTGTCTCCCTCTTTTCTTGACAGTTTTGAGCCAATCTGTATATGTGGAATGTGTTGTGATAACATTGACAAGTATACTAGATGCCATGGATTCGTAGGATTACAATTCTTTGTATTGTTGTAGAAGAATGAGCTCAGTGACATTCGCCTCACACCCTCGGTAGTTTTAATGTTACAGCTGTATATTTTTAGTATTTTACGTGTTCATTCAGTACACTGCCATCATACTTTTTGCAATTCTAAAAAATGTTTACAATATTTCAGAAAATAAAATGTATTAACATAAAATGGAAGCACAGCAAGAAACAATTTAGCAGTTTCCCATAATAACTTTACGTACGTAGAAGCTTAAACTGATTAAAGACTGGAGAAAATGAAAGCCTCTTAGTGGCATCACCAGCTTTCACAGAAGCACAAGTCACACGTGAGGCACTTCCTCATTTCAGGTTCGATTTCTGGGCTTGAGGATTTTTATCTTATTAGGTGCTGTATAATAACGACTTCTCTCGTCTGCTTGTGGCACTTCCATTGATTCTCTTCTCACAACTCTCTGTACTAGAAACCATGACATCAGATGCATGTCGCAAACTTCTCTCTACACACTTTGATGTACTTCCCCATATGATACAGAATGAAAGAAACATACAGGGAAGGGTGAATAAAATGTGGATGTCAGTTTGTGCATCATGTCTCCTGGCTAAAAGAAACAATCACAATCTTTCAAACGTTGTCCGACCCTGGTCATTTCACCAAGCATGACGAGAACGGTAATAGCTACAGGAATGTCACTGCAGGCACAAGATTCAAAACTCACTGCAGAAAATACATTTATGGTCCCAACAGGCTCAATCCGCAGGGTCTGAATTATGGTCGTTTTTGTGATATTCTCTATGTTATTTAAAAAAAAATGAAAAAATTAAACTAAAATTAAAGAAAGTTGCTGTAACTTGTTTTGTTTTTCTACAGTCTTAGAAATTCTGTGACAGCAATTTTGTTATTTTATTTAAGTGGATGCAGAAAAGCACATGCAGATCTTGAAAATGTAGTGACGATTTTGCAAAAAGGAACAGACATGCATACATTTCAGTTCATTAAGCTGGTTAACTGATCTGTAAATAATTCCAAACAATCTACGGCAGATGCAACATAGCAAAGCAGTAAAGCGGTTTCACGCTGTACAGCTTTGGTATTAAATAGATTGGGTACTCAGCCGATATCTAAGCAGACTGACTGCCATTTGTCAGTGATGCTTCTGTCGCACTGCGCCTTGCCTAAACTGACCAAGCAGAACTAGTCCAACCCGTTGCAATTCTGGACCATTTGCTTGAGTCATTCTCTCTCTGCACATGACTTAGCAGCAAGTTAAGCTCTAGGAGTTCCCACAATGACGGCGCATTTCAGCAAGCTGGTAAACACCAAAGTGGTTATTATTGTTTCATCATTTCATTTGTTTTCTTTTCCTTTTTTTCAGAGCACAATTCACTGATGATTACTTAGATGATATACATAAAGGAAAAGTTCCCCAGATAGAGACTTAGATATGGACCTCAGTCAGGAGATCCCGACAAAGGCAAAAGCGGACTGCAAACTGACACATACACACAAATCGCCTGTAGTTACGGCTAGCTAAAAGAGTGTGAAGTGGAGCAAAGGTTGGGACATTGAGTCAATGCAGAGAGTGGCTGAGAGAGACAGTGTGGACAACTGTCACACTGAGTCGGAGTAATAACAATATGATAAACCGCTATGTAGATGATCCTCTGCTCCCCCACAGTGACGCCATGCATCATCTGCAATAAACATCTGCAGTTTTCTAAATAATAATCCACAACTTCGCAGAAAGAAAATGTACAGTATTTTCTTGATCTACTGCCAGAAGTACACTGATGTGAGGTCATGTTCTGTAGTGCACTGCAGGCAAACACCACCACCAAATACAAGCAAACAAAGTACAGTTAGTACAGTGTTTATCTAAAACCCAAATACCTCTTAAGGTGAGCCAGCTACCACAGATTAAAGATGACTTTACACGAATGCATAGGTGCTATAAATCATGCTAGTATGAAAAACCTATCAACGCACATTAACTGTAAGACAGCTATCCCTAAAGAATCTCCTCAACATCTTTCTTTCCTGTCAACTGGTCATTTGTTCAAGTGATGTGACTTCTGACTCCTTTGCTCGAGGAATGTGATTTGTCCAAACGTTCCCAAGGGTACACTATGAGTTTTTCCACAATAACAAAGTCACCAAATGTGACAAACAGTCTAAGAGCCAAAAATTGTATAACCCCCCCCCCCCCCCCCCCCCCCCCCCCCCCTTTTTTTAAAGTTTAAGTGTTTTTCCCCCCAGAGCAGATTTTTTTTTAAGAAAGGGAACACCCTTTGTGGTTTTGGGAACGCCACATATTTAGAATCCTATTTAGTTCATCCTAAATCCACCCTTCAAGCTAGAATCTGCAATAAATAATGAACATACATAAGATCAGGCTGGTTTTGGAGAACCCGCCCGATACCTGCCAAACAGTTTGAAACGCTGTGGGTACAGAGATCTGACGCCCTTTGAATGTACTAAAATGTATTTTGTATGAAGTTAACCGATAAAAACTATCCATTGGTTAATTTACAGAATAACTTCTTTGCAAGTAACAGTATAAAAAAAATGTGTAGACTGCACAGCCTAAGGCACTATACGACCTCAGCCTGTTGGGACATGTTTTATGTAGAAAAACAGACTAAAATCCATCCGTTCTAAAGGAGGGAAACAACACAAAACAACTTGTCCCACGAAATGGTACAGTTTAAAAATAACTACAGATGCTTTCAATATTTCAAAGAAGACAGATGCCACTAAAAAAGAAAAAAAAATCAGCTGAGAAATTTGTTGGCTCACTAACCATCGACACGTATTGCAAGCAGCCTTAACAACACAGCGCTTCCTTGCCCAGGTTCACCGTCCGGCTTCCAGGTAAGACGTTCCCAGGAAAAGCGGTGTATCTCGCGGATGTGTTCCTGCCCTGATCCTGGAAAGGCTGGAACATAAATGCCGTTTCGCCGTGTGCTTGGCCCTGAAGCTCGCAGGCAGTTGGGGAATGCGGAAAACACCACCACTATCCACACTTTGATGTCATGTCCGATTTACCGTAAATACGAGTTTAGCGACCTGGAGAGGCGTTCAGGGCACCTACTAAGAGTCAATAAAGTAAAAAGCTTTTTGTTAACTACATTTCACGTCCACCCGTCACATAACAGGTAATAAGAGAAAAATTTCCGGTTTGAAAACACCTTCAAAATAAAGGCGGAAACTACAAATTAAGTTTTGAGGTGTTTCAGCTTTATAATACTATTCAGTGGGCAGAGTAATAACGAAATATCAATCCATTCATCCAGTTTCTTAATCATTTATTCAACTGATTTAGAGTTCTTTGGGGAACCTCTATAGAGCCTACACTCAGAAAAATTATGGTTCTTAAATGGTTCTTCAGATGTCTTCATGGTTCTTTAAAGAACCATCATACGTCAAAGAACCTTTTTATTTTGTGGATGGTTCTTCAGCTATTACAAATGGTTCTTTAAAGAACAAAAGGTTCTTCATCTTTAGCAATCTAAGTTTGATGGTGTAAATGGCATAAATATTTATTCACTATAATGAGGCTGTGAATTATACTGTGTGTTTTCTTTGTGTGCATGTGTGTGCAAAGGGGGAGGGCGGGATACCTGGCAATTACCCTTTAAGAGAAGATGGTAGGAAACTGAATATTCAAATAAAAGTTAGAAATATTTGCAAACAGTAGACACAATACACACATTCAAGTACTGTACTTTAGTTTTAAATTTTAATAAAGCATTACTATTTTCTACTCCAAGGCATTACTTTTGAGATTATTATATATTTTTGAAAATATAGTATAATGATAATACTAGTTATTGTAAACTTTACAAACCACCCAGCAGTATGTAAAGTCAAATTATAAAATACAAGTAAATAACAATTGCAGAACAGAATGTCAGTGTAATGAACACACTTCGTTTTGACAAAGCGCACTGCTTAGGTAAATGATCTGAGTAGTTGTTCATCACTGAGCAATTTGTTGATATGTGTTTCGAGCCAAATAAATGACAGGGAGAGAGAGAGTGACGTCAGAACACGTCATACTATAACCTCCCGGGAGCGGACGGAGGGGGTCAGTCGTTGGGATGCGCATGCGCAGACAGAGTGTGCGAGCGGCGGGCCTTGACCTTTCGGGGAAAAAACTCACGGACGGTGACAGCGAAACGGATAACAGTCTTCAGTACCTGCTGGACTTTGAAGCTGTGGATTCTGGGACTGTTAGAAAAGGTAAAACATTTTCATTAAAACCTTATTACTGTTTTGTTTTTGTTACTCGTCATTGTAGCTTGCTGTTAATGTTGTGCTAACAGTAGCGATTAGCTAGATACGTTAGCCGTTGAGGTCAGCGCAATTTAGTATCCAACTGTTTTCCTAACAAAACCACTGTTATAATGAAGTGAAGGTGCTCCCAGCTAATTTGAACCTTTGGCTTCTAAAATATGTGGTTCAATTGCGTGCTGCGTACATAACCTAATGTCAGCTAGACCGAAATTAAAATTTAATATATTGTTAAAGTCACTAAAATGGCGCCTGAAGCCTGTTGTGATGTGAGCTCTGTGTCTGCTCTAGAAACTCTGAAATTCTGTAGATCTCAGCCGTACATTAAATACTCACATGAACCTCTACTTTGAATTCTGTATGAGCTGTATAAAATACAGCTATGCATAAGAGTTTTGAATGAATAATTAGATTAGATAACTCTTCATTGTCTAATCGAATTATATAGAAATGAATAGAAATGTGACATGAGAAGGTGTGTCTTTGACTGTTCCTGCATAACTTAGTTTCGGACTAGTTGACAAGTTATGCTCCAGTCATTTGATGTTTCCAAGGTAGATGTTCTTTTGTAATATAGTTAATTTTTTTGTATTGTAATTTTTTATCCACCATCATACATCATACATACAAGCTAAGAAGAGGTCGTTATACTAACAAGAGGTATCAACGCCGGGCCAAAGTTGAGCACATGGTTAAAGTTTGTAATCCAGCCAGGGTGTAAATATCACTCAGCAGCCAGAGCTGAAGCAGGTAGCATCAACACATAAATCTACTCTACCCGGCTTAAATCACAAGAGCACCTCTGACCAAAAAGCTGTAGATTTTTCTTGTTTGCACAAATTAATCCAGATTCACATTAATTGTGTTCACAGCTCCAACAAAATGAGGAAGAGGAGGGGGAGAAACACAATTAGGTTGAATTACAATTGGATGGAAGGCGAGGACAAGGAGAAGGAAGCTTAGGATGAGGAGGAAGAAAAGCAGCAGGAGCATCTTTAGGGATCCCTATGATGTCATTGAGGTTGGTTTCATTAATATGGTCCTCTCACAAAGAACGATGACTTGTTTTAGTTCACCTACTTCCTGTATTTAATAGTGATGTGCAAAATGTTGTGAAAAACCATGGAGCAGGCACGTATAGTGCATCTGCAGGTAAATGAACATCAAATCTCTAAGACAGACTGAAATCTGTATATTTATCACCCTTATGATAAAACCCACGTCAGCCATTGGTTTATGGACTTTGTATTTTGAAGCCTCAACATTTGCTTTATTGCTGTTGCTATGTTGGGACCATATTAGGATGAGGGATCAGAATCTGGAGTCATGCACACTATTGTTTCATTTAGTGTGTATCCATAAGATTCGTACAGCAGATCCAAGTTGTGCCTTGAAAACAGGAAAGTCGTCTGCATAGAGGAGAACTGTAATAGCAGGCTTGTACAAAGTGAGGCTTTGTGCACTCGTTTTACTTCTGTCACCCTGTTTTGATGCAGAATTCATTTGAAATCAGGCAAGAACTGGACTTATTTTTTATAATGTGTTCTTGTGAATTGGTTGTGTATCGCATATGTTTGATTTGACTTTCTGCAAGACAACAGTCGTCCACTGGCCAAAAACGTTTTCCAAATACCTCCACGTGATCTAGCCTGGATTTAGAAAAGAATAGCAAAAAAAATCTGCACCTCCTGCTTCAGATGCAATTTGTGTTTCTGTGTTCAGAGGCAGCGGCGAGAGGGGAGACCTCGGGTCATCCAGCTGGAGAGCCTGACCAGGACGAGTCGAACATTAACTCAGCTCTTCCAGGGCACCCTGCAGACTCGGCTGCTGGCATCGGCGAGGGATGACGTGAACGCCAAACTGGAGTCCATCACAGGTCAACTGCAGGTATGCGAGTCAGACCTTCTGAGGAGGGTTTCACTTTTCTCTCTTCTTTATAATTGACTCTTTTCTCTCTCTTTCAGCTCCTTGTCTCAGAGTGGGAGGGATTTGAAGCACAAAGGGAGGAACTTGTTGTTTGGTTGGCTGATATGGATGTCCGCCTGAGAGGTTGACCAGCTGACAGGAAACACCAGTGAAAAACTGAAACAACTGCAGGTGTGGGTTTGTTTTGATATGACATATGTTTGATATGAAACATACGTCAGAGACATTATCCTAAACTGGAATAACAAAGGACCATGAGTACAACATGAAACGTACATTACATGGTGTAATGCTAAAGTTCATTGATCATTTTAATCATAAACTTGTTGTTGAAATGATTTTACTGAACATGCAAACATCTGCTGATGAAAATGTGTTGATTTATTGGTCTGTTATGAAGCTGTTGCTATTTCTAATGTGTTTTATCACTTTCTGATGTTTTATTAATTAAACAATACATGTATTATTTGTTGTGTTATCTGTAGCTATAGTATTTATATATATTTATTTATAGTATAGCAAATATATTTAATTATTACTGTTTAAAACACTAATATGTGACATGTATTAGTATTGATGTTGTGCTGAGGGCTAAAATGCCTTTTTGTCTTTTGGTAACTACAAAATGACAATAAACCATTAATATATGTCTATGCTGTGCTCGTATTTATTTTACCCTACTCAAATTCAATTTATGATGCATTTTATTTTGAAAGATTTAAAATGGTTTTTTAAAGAACCACTCAAAAAAAGGTTCTTTAAAATGGTTCTTTTAAAGAACCTTTTGAAGGACCTTTTTAAAAATGGTTAAAGAACCATTTTTAAAAAGGTTCTTTGAAAAACCATTAAAGGTGCCCCAAAGAACCATTTCTTGATGGTTCTTTGGGGCACCTTTTAAAGGTTCTTCAATGAACCACTGAAAGAAATGGTTCTTCAAAGAACCATTGTTTGAAAGGTTCTTTGTGGCACCAAAAAAGGTTCTTCTATGGCATCAGTCTAAAGAACCACTTTTGGTTCCATTTGGCACCTTTTTCTGAGTGTAGGACCTAACCTATGTAAGCGGCCAACGTCAAGATTCAAGATTCTTTATTTGTCACATGCATAGTTATAGGAGTACAACTGAAATGAAATCTGTCCTGAAACACTCCTCGACTGTGCATAAAGAGGACATCATATACAGTAAGTAGTGAATTATATACATTAAGTAAATTAAATAAAACAATCTGGAAATTTGAAATTAAAAGTCTGAAAATGTGTGCGAGTGGAATGTGTCTTGTGCCATATTAGCACCGCAATGTACTGACAGAGCAGTGCAACATACAACATAGTGACCAGAGTAGTACAAACGGTAATGTACAAGATCAGTTGCGGTCCTAGCCTATTTAGCGCCCTGGGAGAACACCCCCTCTGCCTACTAATTAATGTTATGTTGTTGTATCTCTGTTGTGGTCAGTGCTATCCTCTATGCTGTTGCATGCTGGCGCAGCAGGTTGAGGGTCACAGATGCCAACAGACTAAATTAACTGATCCACAAGGCCAGTAATGTTGTGGGGGTGGAGCTAGACTCCGTTAGGGTGGTGTCTGAGAGGTAGATGTTGTCCAAGATAAAGACAATGTTGGATAATACCTCCCACCCACTCCATGACATGCTGGCTAGTCACAGGAGCATGTTCAGTTAGAGACTGAGATTAGCAAAAAGCATCACTGAATGACACAGGAAATCATTCCTGCCTGTGGCTATCTCCCTGTACAACTCCTCCATCTAACACACTGTAAACACTGCAATTACATCCTTTTTACACACGCTCTTTTCTACTCTGGAATATTCTCGTCAATTTCCTTGTAATCACCTCTGTTAATCCTTGATATTTATAATTGAGTGATCTGTATATATTAATGCTATTTCTTAAATGTGTAAA